TATAATCTTTATTTATAGCAAATCAACCAGTAAAGCAAGTTTAATGTATACTTGAGTGAAGTGAAAACTAAAAACACATTAACTAAAAGCACAAACATATATTAGTGATGTTCCCTCTAACCTGTGCTGACTACAAAAAACTGCATATATAGACCATTTCAATGTGGTGATGTCATTGGCCCATGAACATTTTCTGCTTATTGTCAAATTATTTCATATTTGTGGCAGAAGGTGATTCAGTCATAACTTGATGTTATAACATTATTTATCAGTATGTGGTATTTATTGGACCCTCAGAAGCTATGGAAACTTAAAATGTAAAACAGGAAATACGTCAGGACCATTGATATTGTTTACATCCCTCAAAATGGCCTTATAAAGACCCAATAGGCTCCCCTTTGAATTTAGCTGTGATTCTGAATGTCCATTGACTTAAGTGACCACAACTGATGTTAACATTGACGTCTAGAAACTCAACAAAGAAATAGTTCACCGGTAAATGAAAATTTGCTGTTACTCACCCTCAGGCCATCTTTTATCTGTAGTAGAGTGAATCTTAATCTCAGCCTTCACACCCCAGTGCTCTGCATATTTTACAAGTCTCCGTTAACACACCTGACTCTGATAACCAGCTCTTCAGAAGAGAAGATCCATGCATGAAATGTGTTTAGATTGACAGGGTCCCTAAACAGTGTGCGTTGCTTCATTGCTCCCTACCTAAGCATGGAATTTTTTTTTTACTTCAGAATGTTCATTCACAGATTTGCGCAAAGCCACTGCCTGTGGAGCCTTCACACATTTCACACTCTTCTAGTAAGTGTTGTCCGTGTGACAGTATGCCTCTGTAAATAAATGTAATTTAAAATCACATGTCGCACACTAAAATGTCAATTGAGCAAAATGCATATGCTCTCTCAGAGCTGGAATCTCGATGGAATACCCACTTTGCTGGGCACAAGCTGTAAAGTTAGAACAAACGTCTGAAGTGATGAGAAACAGAAAACAGGAATTGAGAAATGCTGCTTTGAGAAGCAAACAAACAAAAATTTGATGAAATTGTGGTGCTTTGCGATTCATAAAGTTCAATTATATCATGTGTTACTAGAAATTTGACTGTTAAAAAAACATACAGGAAGGCGAAATAAAGTTAATACCTGACTTCTAAAAAGTCAAATGATTGGTCTTTGCGAGAAACCAAATATTATTATTACTGCTGGAAATATTTCATTGTGAATAATCACATCCAAAATGAAAGTTTATTAAGTATATGTTATACAAACACACATACATAGAAACTAAACTAAATATATTTAAATTCTTTGGGAATTTTGGCCCATTCCTCTTTGCAGTACCTCTCAAGCTCTATCAGGTTAAATGCGAAGTGACTGTGTACAGCCATTTTCAGATCTCTTTAGAGATGTTCAATGGGATTTAGGTCTGGGCTCTGGCTGGGCCACTCAAGAACATTCATTGAGTTGTTGTGAAGCCACTCCATTGATATTTTAAGAAAATAAATGAGAATAGCCATAGATAAAAAGGCTCAACCTCCTTTACTCGACTTTGCCACTACCAGAACCCCTGAGTTTTAGATCTTAAAGATCTTTATTTATTTATGATTTGGTTATGGGTAAATTAAAGACTATGCGGGTCAGGGTGTTGAAATGGTAGGCTGCATATAATTAATTTGTTAGAAATTATTGAATTATTCATAAATAATTATTCCCCGCCGCCTACACAACGATGCCATCGTCCATCGCGATGTTTCACATTAGACATCGTACGATGCCAAATTGGTCAACATCGCCGATACCTAGTTCATGAAATTATTAAATTACTGCTGCATTTTAGAGGCAAACACTTTTCCTCTACATATTGTTAATGTTTTGCCCTTCAGCAAAACAGACATCTTGCTAAAGTTGTTCTTCTTTCTGGCAGACATCTCATTTCGAATGTTTAGATGTTAGGACATCCAACATCAGGAATGCCTGTTATCGACCTGGAAACCTCTGGTGATAAATTTGCTGTCAGTGTGAATTGAGCACTAAAGCGTGCTGTCAGCACCTGAAACCACATGCAGTGATGGACCTTGTTTGTAAAATTTCACTTCTGGTTTCAGTAGACACTTGTTTCACAGGTCTGAGTTAACGTCAGTGCCAGGCTCATAATGGAGAATAAATGATTTTCCATTATCTCTGAATAACTCCCATAGAGTGCCTGAGAGCCGAGCTGTTGGCTTCCACAAACAAGCTTTTTTTACTGACAGCTAGATTGAATTTACACATTGAAATGTGTAAGAGGCAAATTCTATAACCGCAGGACTGTTTTCACATTACTAGCATTTTTGCTCATGTCGAAACGCGTTAGACTCTGTGCCTCATCCCTGTCCAATTTTTGTGCAGTCGGTAGGATTTGTGTTGTTTTTGTTGACTCGTACATGACTGTGTGTGTGTATATATCACATCTCGGGGGGAGGGTTTAGAGATGCACACTCTTGTCAGGCTTGAAAATACACCTTCTCTTGCTGACTGGGGATGTAAGGAGCCAGAGTGACTCACAGTTAATCACGTTTACACTGTCGTCACAAATCCACTGCGCAACACAGACACATTTGCCACTTTTCCAGTCTTAAAGGGATAGTTCCCCTAAAACTGCAAATTCTGTGATTACTTTACTTGTTCTAAAGCTGTTTGACTTTGTTCTGTTGAACACAAAAGATATTTTTGAAAGCTGGAAATCTTATTTGTTTTTATTCTTGTGGAATTTAATGGTTACAGGTTTTCAGCTTTCTCGTAAAGCTGTGGAATTGCTTGAGGTAATTTAAATAATGAGTAAACTTTCATTTTTGAGTAAAGTATCCCAGCAAGCAATTTTTGTTTTTAAAATGTGTCTAATACATGTCTAATAGACTATTTTCTAATAGAAATAGTCATCTTGGCTAAAACAAGGCTAAATTTGGCCTGTCAGTGAAAATCTAATAGACATATAAGACTAGGTCAAAACTAGACTAGCCATTAGATAAACAGAAATTAATGGTCTAATTTGTCTATTTGACAATTAGTTTAGTTTCGGGCTATTCTTAGATGTCTGTTCGATTTTCACAGACAGCCCAAGTTTAGCCTTGTTGTAGCCAAGCTGTCTACATGTATATGTCTATTAGACGTCTATTAAACACAGAATTGTTTGTTGGGATCCCCTTAATTCAATTCAATTCAATTCAATTCAAGTTTATTTGTGGCACTTTTCACAATAAGCTTTACAAAAGATGAACAGTTTAATTGATCAAGTAAAGGTTATTAGTTACCATAACTTTATTAGTTTCAAATAATTTTAACTAGTTACTAATAGGTTTTAACAGTTAAAATTATTCTACAGTACATAAACATAGTTAACCTGCAGTTATATAGTAGGTGATGTCTGTGTACATTTTCAGTGAGGTGTATTTGTGTAATTTACTCTGCTCATTTGAGATTTTTTAGAAAAATATTTAAAGAAGATCTAGTCTTTGGTCATTCATAAAATTATAAAAAGGCCCAAGTTTGCACTTAATTTGTGGAAAGCACCCTTAAATGTTTGAAAATTCAGTTCCCAAGTAACTGAAAGTGTGAATCATACAATCACAGATGAAGTGTTAATGTAATGCGTTCGTTTAGGCATGCTTCCACATTTCTTGTGCCTGAAAACACACCATTATTTCCTAATAGTTTCTTGGAACATTATTTATGAAAGATGTGAATTTGTGTGAGACTGCGTGTCAGCTTGTGTGTTTTTGTAGAGGGCAGTTCCGGACACTCTATCCTGTATTGATCTCTGTCAGGCTTTGGGCTATAAATTCTCTGTTCGTTACAGATCGAATCGATATGTAATTAGTCTGGGACAAAAATGATGGAATCAAACAATGTGCATGGGATCCATGCTGCTTTTGATTTAAACGCCCAGATTATATTACTTTGTGTGTGTGAAATAGGAGAAGGTTATTCCTTCTCTGAAAATTGTCTCTTTATCTCTAACATCAACCATTTTCTCTTTATTTTTATCAAATTTAATATTACAAATCTTTTATTTATTTCGACTGTTAATGTAATATTTTACTTAGTAACACAATAAATCTTCTATCAATTTGTAATTTATAAATATGTTAATAAATTATTTGTAATACAATTTTGTCCTTTAATACAAGCAGTCAGATATATGAACTATACCTTTAATTTTACCTGCTCACAGAAAACTCTATTTGAATGTATTAAACAAAACTCAAGTACATGCACAACAACATGAGCATTTATAGAAAATAAGCTAATGTAAACATTATCTCGCTTGCTTTTTGAACGTTGTTAAGTGAGTTCTTAAATAATTGATCAATCGCTCAACAGAAAAGGCTGTGATTGGCTCTAATGGTCATGGACACTGAGGTTAAATGGCCGCAGTGATCATAGCTGATACAAAGACGGCAAAGCGGTGGAGAACACTCACTATGCAGACATGCTCATAGATCCACAAGTAATGTTATTGCTGTAACAGCCGAGAAAGGAAATAAAACGTTACCCCACGAACATGCCAGCAGGTCAAAGGGGCCACAGAGCATGAGAGAGAGTTTACAGCTTTCATTTTTTCCTAGCTGGGTTTTGATGTACTTCTCTGACAGGAAAGACTGTCCAGCAAACTCACAAGTAGTAAATCGTGCACATTTATTTGCTTTTCAAGTAATTGGAGCCTTTAAACTACTCCCGGTCGCCTCCCTCGTCATACATAATACATAAAAACTGGTTGTGATTATAACTGAACCAATACAGAATTGTTCGCGTCTGCATGGTGGTGCATCAAAGAATCAATTCATTTTGACACCCCTAAAAACCAGACATTGTAATTTATGCCTTTTTTTAACCCAGCAGTTGGTTTTGTCCATATTTGAACCAAATTGCTTTGCAATGACTCTATTTCAACCAAGAAATGCTAATTCCTTTAAAATCTCTAATTTGCTTTATTGTCTCTTTTTAATTCAGGCTGGAAGTCCAACCTCAGTGAACGCACCCTGCAGCTTCCCCAGGAGTTCAGTGACGCCTTCAAACCAAGATATATGCAGGTAGGTTTGTCCTCCCTCTGGCCTGAAGCCTCTGTACTCCTGCTGTACGATCAAGTCCTGAAACAGAGTAAAAGAGAGCACAAAGTGTCAAAACAAAAGTGGACCAACACAGCCATCCATCTTGATTCTGCCATTTTGTTTTCTAACCTTCCTCTCAGCTCCCCTCCACCTGTCTTTTTGTAATCTTTCTCCATGTGTTCTCTAATGCATGTCGCATGTCTCTTTACATTCGTTTTCTCTCTTCCCATCTCTGTTTCTGCACCTCTTTCTTTCTGTCCCATCCCTCTCCTTTCCTCTCGTATGCAGTTCTAATGACCTCGCTCAGGACGTGGGCTCACAGAGGCCCTTACAGGCCACCGTAGTGATGTTGAACTCTAACGGTAAAAGCTCAGCATCTCAGGGTGTCACCATGACCACGCTCTGCCTGGACTCTCCCGCCAAGCCCAAAAATAGGACTTTATTCGGCACGGAATGGCTTTCCCTTCTCAAACCGTCAGTCAACCTTAAACCAGAAGCAGGAAGTCTCAAGTTCTCAAAGTCTCTGAATGATGTGGGCCAAAAGATGGACAGTCTATGCAGTGGTCTTCACTTTATAGACCGCACCTGTTCGGATGGGGAGCTGGAAACGGAAAAGGAACAGCTCATGCAAAATGGCCAAATCAAAGCCCTCAATGTTCACGGTGTCCCCCCTCCTCTGTTTGCTTCTCAACCTCCATCATTCCTCAACAACTACAAATATATCTCCAACCCCGGGCCTGAGCAGTGTCTGGCTCCCTCTGCGCCTCCGCATTCAGACCGTCGAAGAAGCTCCAACTTCTTGCGCCTCATCTTTCCCTTCACCCGTTCTTCCACCGCAGGAAGTCTGCAGGTGTCTGAGATGGGGAGTTATGCTTCAAGGCTGCACATCGACAAGTCCTCCAGCGCTGTGCTAGACGTCAGTGAGTCCTGCTGTATGGAGGAGATAGGAGACGATGAGGTATTTGAGGAGGTTCCATCCCGGTGGAAGATGAAGATGGAGGGTGTACGGGCTCCGCTATGTTCCCTCGAGGAAGACTGCGACTTGGATCAATGTACCTCTCCACTTTCGGAGAAGAACGCGCCACTGTCACCTTACTCCCTATCGGGGGACTGCTGCAGGTTGGTGGGGCTTCCTCACTCCCGTCCGGCTCCTCTTACCCATGGACCTTTAGAGTGATTCGTACCTCATAGTCCCGCAGCAGCCCTTTCCTCTGGATGGCGAATTCCTACCAGTCCCAGTTTCTCCCTCCAGTTAGAGCCTATGTGCTGTCGTAGTTTCCACTCCCACTGCTGATCGATAGTCTGGTTCATCTAGGAGTGAGGTTTTGAGTGCTAATGATCCATGCTGTGGGAAAGTGTCCAGGCTGGTTGTGTGGGATGCATGGATAGTCCAAGCAGATTTCCTTTAGAGAGATCCAGTCAATACTAAGGATAGCTTGCGGAGTGCTGTAGTTTAGGTAGAATAGAGATTTAAGATCTGGGTTTGATTATGGCTCACTGGCTTCGGGATTGGAGATCTGGTAGCAATAATTTTATTGATGGTCCTCTACAGGTCCACAGGTATGCCTCGGGAAACAATTAGAGTAACTAATGAGGTATGTAATTGATTTTGCTGATGGAAAAGTTACTAACTTTGGAAAAAAAAAAACCTAGATTTTAAGTCAGAATGGTTATAAATAATATGACTTTTGGTCATTCTTTATATACATTCTTTTATAAGAAATATTTGATTTTAGAAATCATTGGCTTGTTTTTTTTTTTTTTTTTTTTAAAGGGGGCAATATCCAAAAGTGGGTACTTTCAGAGTTGCTGCTATGCTTGAATAACTAATAAGTATTAGGGCCTGTTTAAACCTGGCCACTTCATGTGTTTTTCCTGAAGGGAGCCAAAGTTTTGTACAGAAATATACTACAAAATAATCATAATAGTATATAAAATGCAAGATAAAATATACCTAAAAAGGCACAGAAATTAAAATTACCACTTAGTGAGATCAGGTGTCAAATCCCAACGAAAAAAAGTAAAGTTTTAAGAGCTGATTTGAATGTAAACAAAGAAAGAGCCTGTCTAATGGGCAGCGGCAATTCATTCTAAAGTGTAGGACCTACCACAGGGAAAGCACAATCTTCTCTAAGCTTGCGCTTTGTTTTAGGCACAATCAGCTGACCTGAGAGAACGAGTGGGCTAATGGGGGTGTATCAGCTCAGAGATATAAGGTGGGGCAAGACCATTTAGAGCAGGGCTATTCAATTAGTTTGTTATGGGGGCCAGTTCATAAAAAAGAATCCCAAATGAGAGGCAGGAGAGAAATGACTTGCAGTATGAGTGATGACACAACAGCATATAAGAGCCTGTATGTTGAATTTTTGCTCCTTAAGACACCCACTTTGTATTTTTCTGCATTAAATTTAAAGTGTTAATATATTGTATTTTAAAGGGCACATAGTTTACCCCTTTTTTATGATTTAATATTAATCTGAGTGTGCCAGTTTAGGTTCAGTTCAACACATAGTTCAGATGTTTTATTATAATGTGTTCAAAAGTGTAATTTTGAGGGTGTATACACAGCTCGCTGTTTTTGCGGCGTGTTGCTTCACATAAAAATTAGTTTCGGCTTCCTGCCCAACGTAACAAGGGGGCGGAGCCAAGAGCTCCTCCGCTCTGTGTTTGCAACAGACAGGCAGACAGAATGAGGCAACATGAGTGAGAGAACCAGCATTCAGCTGTACATGTACGACTCGGACACAGACCAAGCAGAGAGTACAAAATCATTTGTGTCTTTGTATAGTTTTAAAGACAACTTTGTGCTAGTTTCAAGTGCAGAGCTTGTACACCGAGACTAATAACCACACACACTCTCTGTTGAGCTGCAGAAACACGAAGTGTCCCGAATCGTCACGCCATGCAGCACCATGCATTTTAGAATTCTAAACATAGGTTTCTATCAGGGTACACATCATGCCGCTTCAAGACTCGAAGCGCTGTTGTGTGTACCCTGATAGAAACCTATGTTTAGAATTCTAAGATGCATGATGTGTCGTGCCACGCAGAGTGGTGCGTCTGGTCTGCGACATGCAGGCAAGTTCGTTATTTTATTTCCAAAGGAGAGACACGCACATGAGGCAATGCGCTTGCACTTTTCCAGCTGATCCTAGTTAAGATCACAAGGAGCTTCTGTGATGGTGAAAAATGCAAACGGCTGAAGTTTAAGGTAAACGCAATGAAAAGTACACATGTTTGCAAACCTACCAAAAGGTACAGTAATTCCGATTAGAGCGATAATGTGGAGAATATCGATCTTGTGTTGAGCCCAATGAGCCCTACATCTAAAAATAGAGCAAGGGTGTTCCTGTAGTGATATTGCTTTGACTTTAAAAGCACGATTTTGCCAGGAAAAAAAAATTCACCATATCGTGACATTTTCGATGTGCACTCTGACACATCTGAGTGGAATTCTACTGTATGCCTTATATTGACCTTATTCTTCAATGCTGAAGTGCGCTTGTTTTTGCGATTTGTTTTAGAACTTCTGATTCAGCTGCCTATGGGATAAATGACTAAGAATAATAAATCGCAGGAAATGGTCAAACTACTTCCTCTACAAACAAGCGTTTGCATGATTTTACAAAGCAGAATCATATAATAAGAAAACGAGCTGTTGTTAAGGTCTAAAAATGAATGGAAGTGAATGGGACTGGAATTCTCCAGCCAAAAAGATTCAAATGGCTGCACCCATTTGTACAGAAAAAAAGGTGAATAGAGAGCATGAAAAAATAATACAACTTGCAATCAACTTTTGTTGATTTAATAAAAAAAACTAAGTATTTATCCCACAGACCTTATCTGTGGAATGGGAACCTTGGATAACTTTGTGTTTTATGAATGTGAGTAATATTACTGTTGCTGTAGATTAATTTAGTTAATATTTATTATAATTCATTATAATAAAAAAAAAAAAACACAATATTTAGATTTCTGTTGGAGACAGAAAAACATGTTCTCCTCATGTTTGTGTGGGTTTTCTCCGGGTGCTCCGGTTTTCCCCACAAGTCCAAAAACGTGGTATAGGTGAATTGGGTAGGCTAAATTGTCCGTAGTCAGGTCCGGATTGGCTAATCGGGAGGACCGGGAGAATTCCCGGTGGGCCGGTCCGTTTTTTGGCCGCGAGGGCCGTTGTCCGTAGCTCCAGAATCTGTTGCTCTCAGCAGTCACACTTTTTAAATATAATTTATTTATTTACTTGACCACAGCCTTCTTATTCATTATTTTACCGCAGCTCTGCTCTTTTTATCTATTTTCTCGTAGCGTCGTGAGCAAGCTGCAGCTTGCAAGTTAATGATGATATAACTAGATAAGTCACCAGTGAACGCACAGCTAATGTGGTACAGTGGTTAGCACGTTAGGTTAAGACGCGGCCAACCAGGGTTCGGTCCTTTTCTATGATGAATTTTTTTTTTCATTTTTATTGTTAAGACATATAATACTGTAAGGGTTGTTAAACATTTGAAGTTCTAAAACAGCTGTTTTCTCAAAAAAAGATGTGATAGTGTAATTAGAAACTGAATTGGAAATGACCTTATTTTAAGATTTCAGTGGTGAACTGAGGTGGGCCGGTCTAAGGCTTAATACTCCAGGGCTGAAAAAGAGTCCCACTCCGGCCCTGTCCGTAGTGAATGGATGTTTTGCAGCTGGAAGGGTATCCACTTCATAAAACATATGCTGGATAAGTTGGCGGTTCATTCCGCTATGGCATTCCCGGATTAATAAAGGGACTAAGCCGAATATATTTTATTTTTATTTTCGGTCATGTTTTTAGATTTTCATGTTTCATCAGCTAAGCATCTTTTTCTGCATGTTATTAGGTAAAGCTCTGTGCCTCAAAAAATGTACCCTCTTAATTATTTTTTACAATTTAAATTGAGCTTTCTTCACAACAATTGAAAAATATGTTAAGTGTAGTACAAATATGAGTGGAACTATGAATCTGGACATACTATATGCAATATTTTCTCATTGTCATTTTCTCCCTTTATTCATAAGTCCTCTCTTGAGGCCTCATGAGAATGCACTATTAGTATTGGGCCATCTTAGTATTTTTCACCAACATTTTTATGAACTTATTAATATCTGATATACTTTTTAAATATTGTTTTTCATCCACTGTATAGTTGAAAAATATACGCATTCAAATGCAACCTGGCTTATCAGAAAGCAGCTACGATCAACAAGATCTGCTTTCTCTAAGCTAAAGTCTTGGCACTTTACCTGAGCTTCACTGGATGTCTTCTGCTATATCAATTGTTTACATCTTCCTTAAAGGTGAGGTGAGGTTTCTTCCCACACATATTAGCACTCGCACATGGTGCTGTGAAAACACATGTGCTCCTAAAATAGCTGACATTTAGAGATCGGCCAGCAAGACTTATTGGTTTAGAGCAGAGCTAAAATACCCAGGCTTGGAGATCTGCCACAAAGCAAGCTCAGGTGTCTTGAGGTGTGACCCACGGCAAGGACACAGTTTTATGTGGATGTGCTGGTGCATTTCAGAGTTTTAACAGCATCTGAATATTTTTGATTATTAATGTAAAAATATTGGATATTTCAGAAAATTCTGTTTGCTTATTATGTAATCAGGTTATATTTATAGTTAAACGCCTGAAATTTTTCATACCCCTGGCAAATTCTGACTTAGCTACTTGTATTCAACCAGCAAGTTAATTTTTGACCGCAAATGATACGGCCTTCTCCTAAAAGGTAATAAGACTATGAATAAGAGGCATCAATGTGGGAAAAAGTATATATATCTTAGCTTTTATATACATTGGTTATTACAGAAATCAAACGCTTTCAATAATTGCTGACCAGCGTTTTGCATGTCTCCACTAGTATTTTCACCCAATCATCTTCAGCGATGAGCTCCAAATCTTTCAGGTTGGATGGTCTCCATGTCATCGTCCTGATCTTTAGCTCCCTCCACAGATTCTCAATTGGATTTAAGTCAGGACTCTGGCTGGGCCACTGAAAAACGTTACGTTTTTGTCTGCCAACCATTTCTTCACCACTTTTGCTGTATGATTTCATTGTCGTTGTCATACTGAAATGTCTGCTGGTGCCCAAGG